GGAATTGTCTTGAATCATTGTCTTGATCAGATTAGACAAGACTTTCACAGTTTATCATCATTACAACATTTCTGTTACTATGTACGATCTTCTGGTTCTGCTCACTTCACTTTTCATCAACTCATATAAGACTTCTGGGTTTTTATTCTGAAACCATCTTGCTCATCATTTCTTATGTCATTATAGTATTCCGTCATAAACATATACCACAACTTGTTTAGCCATTCCCCAATTGCTGGGCACACCCATAATTTTCCAATTTCCTTAAAAGAGCAGCTATAAATACTATTGTATAAATATATCTGTTTCCCTTTTCTTTGATCTTTTTGGGATACAGATTTGCTTAATCAAAGGGTAGGTATAGTTTTATAGCCTTTTGGGCATAGTTCCAAATTGCTGTCCAGAATAGCTTAACTAATTCACAACTCCAACAGTGCATTACTGTCTCGATTTTTTTTTTTACTTCTACTTCAGGATTTGTCATTTTCCTTTTCTGTCATGTCAGCCAGTTGGATAATTGTGAAGCAGTATCTCACAGCTGTTTGAATTTCCATTTCTCTAATCAATGGTGATTTAGAACATATTTCATGTTATTATTGATATTTTTGATTTCTTCTGAAAACTGTTCATGTCCTTTGAATATTTATCAGTTGGGAAATGGCTCATACTTTTTTTTTTTTAATTTGGCTTAGTCACCTATATATTTGAGAAATGAGGTCTGTATCAGAGAAATTTTCTTTAATTTTTCCCCCCAATTTCTTGTTTTCCTTCCAATTTTGACTACATTAGCTTTGTGCAAATAGATTTTAATTTTATGTAAAAATTATCCATTTTGCTTCCCATGGTCCTCTCTCTCTTGTTTGGTCATAAAAATCTTCCCTTATCCATAGAGCTGACAGGTAAATTATTCCATGCTCCCCTAATTTACTTATATTATCCTATATGTCTAAATAGTTTATCCATTTTGAACTTATTTTGGCATGTGGTTTGAGATGTTGGTCTATGCCTAGTTTCTGCCAAACTGCTTTCTGGTTTTCCCAGCAATTTTTCTCTCACATGGTGAGTTCTTTGCCCAAAAGTTGGATCTTTGGGTTTAATCAAGCACTATATTTCTATGGCCATTTACTACTGTGTATTGTATTCCATTGGTCTACCACTCTATTTCTTAGCCAGTACCATACTGTTTTCATTATTACTGTTTTGTAATATAGTTTTAAATCTAGTATTGCCCCCTTCGCATTTTTTCATTGATATTCTTGACCTTTTGTTATTCAGGATGAACTTATTACTTTTTTTTCTAGCCCTATGAAATAATTTGTCAGTATTTTTATTAGTATGGCTCTGAATAAGTAAATTAACTTGGACATAAGTTTCATTTTTATTATATTGGCGTGACCTACTCTTTAGCAGTTAATATTTCTCCAATTGTTTAGATCTATCTTTATTTGTGTGAAAAGTGTTTTGTAACTGAGTTCATATAGTCCCTGGGTTGGACTTAACAAATAGTGTCCCAAGTATTTTATATTGTCTGCAGTTATTTTAAATTGATTTTTTCTTTCTATCTCTTCCTACTGGATTTTACTGGTAATATATAGAAATACTGATGTATTATATGGGCTTATTTTATAGCCTGCAACTTTGCTAAAGATGTTAATTGTTTAAACTGATTCTTCAGTTAATTCTCTAGGGTCCTCAAAATATACAATCATATCATCTGCAAAGAGTAATAGTTGTGTTTTTTTCATTGCCTATTTTTATTCATTCTTTTTTCTTGTTTTATTGCTTTAGTTAGCATTTCTAATATGATGTTGAATAATTGTGGTGATAACTGTCATCCTTGCTACACCCTTGATTTTACAAGGAAGGCTTCTAGTTTATCCCCATTACAGATAATGCTTGCTCTTGGTTTTAGATAGATACTCAACTTATTCCTATGCCTTCAAGTGGAGTAGATGTTGTATTTTGTCAAAAAGCTTTTTCTACATCTATTGATATTTTCATATGATTTTTACTGTTTAAAGATGGTTCTTCCCATAATGTCCATTAAAGAAGAACTCCAAGGCCAGCTATTTCTTCCTTTCTCAAAAGGTTGAACTACAGATTTCTCCATCATGTCCCATAGGCTACTGCTACCTCTTCCCTCTTCCTTTTTGGCTTCCTTTTATGGGTTGCCTTCCCCTATCAGAATACAAGCTATATAATAGCAGAGGCTAAATTTCTTTATGTTTGCATTTGTCCTCCTAGCACTTAGCACAGTGCCTGACACATAATAAGCACTTAATAAATGCATGTTGACTGACTGACTGAGCAACATATTCTCCAGGCCTCAATCCAAAGACGTTCCAACTTATTGGATGTCAGAGGTTTTGTTCCACTGGCATGGGCTTCAATAACCCAGGGGTCCGCAGTCTGTGATAAATCTTAGCAAGGGAATTCTAATTTAATACTGAATATAAAGCTGGGTGGTCAGAGCTTCCTCATGTGCATTCAGTATGGACTAATTTTAAGTCTTTCAAAGCATACACTGATATCCAGGATCAATAGAATTCATAATGGTAATATTATTCTTAAGACATTTCTTTCTTTTTAAAATAAACTTTGTGGATAATTTATGCTTTCATATTCCCTATATTCTCTCATGTATTCATTCCTACCTTATCAATCCCAAAGAGTCATCATTTATTACAAAGAATAAGAAAGAAGAAAATCAAAATAGTTCAGCAAAACTAGCATATTGAAGAAATCTAATACTATATAGAGTCATTCACTCTCATAGTCCCTTTGTTTAAAGAAGCATTGAGAGGTTCCTTTTCACAGATTTTGGGTCAAACTTATCCATTACTATTTCACAGCATTCAAGCTAAATGATTTTGTTCTTGGTCTTCCCATTCGTATTGTTGTAAGCATTGAGTATTTTTTTCCCTGGTTCTGATTAACCTTGCATCAATTTTCTTCCCATGTTTCTCCATGCCCATCATTCCCTAAAGCACAGTAATATTCCATTATATTCATGCAGAGATTTGTTTTTACAATTCCCCAACTGATAAGCATCTACTTATTTCCAGTTCATTTCCACTATCAAGATTGCTGTTGAGTATGTTTTTGTGTTCGTTCATTTTTTAATGTGTATGAGACCATTCATTTTGTAAATTACCTGCTTGGTAACAATAGTGTGGCATCTCTGGGTATGGATATTTATTTACTTTTTTCATAATTCCAAATTTGTTTTCAGAATTGTTGGACCAATTCTTAGCTCCTCCAACAATGAAACAGTGTGGCCAGTTTTGAAGAGTCCCATCTTTTGTCATATTTACAAATTTTCTGGGTGTGAAGTGAAACCTTGGCATTGTTTCATCTCTCTTATTGTCAGGAATTTGGAAAAAATGTTGATATGGTTAATACTTTACAATTCTTTTGAGGAAATTTGTTCTTTTTTTAACCATGCATCTGCTGGGAAATAGCTTTTGTTACTTTTCTATATATTTTGGTTAGCAGACCTTTATCAGAGATGTTTGATACAAAGACTGTTTCCCTCTTAAAAACTTCCCTTCTTATGCTAGTATCTTAGTCACTTTAATTTTGTTTATGCAAAATTGTTATCTATTTTATTATTTTCCTTGTACGTATTCATTACTTGGTTAAGAAATAACCCCATAGACATAACTGTGAAAGATATCTTATTTGATTTAATTTTTTAATGTGATATTAAAGTTATATATCCATTTTAAGTTTATTGTAGGATATGGTATAAACTGTTAGTCTTAAATTGATTTCTGCCAGATTGCTTTCCAGTTTTCCAAGTAATTCTTTTCAAACAAGGAGTTGTTTCCTAGGTTATTTAAATTTGAAGCTTTATAAAACACTGGGTTTTGAGTTCAATTATTGCAGATAATTATTGTGGATTCTTTGACTCCTTCTGTTCTTGAACAGGATTTTGAGCATAAATAAAATTTGTGTGTGTAGGGAAACCACCAATGAGTTACTTCACGAAGTTAGAAACATCCAAATGGTTTTCTCCTTTACCCCAAATGTGAAGTGAAGGTCTTCTTTTTTTTTTTTCTCCTTGAACCTGGAAGACATATATTTTCTAGTATTAAGTGTATGATTGAGCTTTTTGTTAATGCATTTTTAAAAAATGTTAACAGAACTCCTTTTATTTTTTATGGAGTTTTAGTGAGACCTTACCTAATAAATAACCAATTTTGCTTTGGAAAGTACCTGTCTGAATTGAAATTTCCATCTCAAGAAGGATCCAAGTTGAATCCCACTTTATATGTAATGTTAAAGCAAAATCAGAAATGGTCATATTGGGTTTAACTGTGTAATTTTATTATCTTAATGCTTTCTTGACCAAATGCTTAGAAAAGATTGCCTAAAGTAATCTGTATTGTATATAGTATGAAGTTGTATGATCAGGGTCCTATTCAACAGGGTAGCATTCTGCCTGAGATCCAACCAAGATGACATTCCAGTTACTCCCCAGAGCATAATAGAGCCATTGCTATCCCATCTAAACAAGATGCCATGCACAAGGAAAGGAAGGTCTTATCAGCAACAACCCAGCAGGCTGGGCCATTGGCATGGATTGTTTTACTATGGCAGTCACAAACAATAGAAGCAGGCACAGAAACATCTTTCTTATCCAGTCATTGACACAGAGGGATGCTGCAGAACTCAAAGCTCTCAGAGAAAGAAAAGGAAAGAGAAAAGGGCTTTCATAGGAGCTGACAACAATGCCTTTTAAATAGGAAAACTTGGTAATCTCATCTGACATTTTTTTAATTAAAAAGTTGTTTCTCTTGAAACACACAGCAAAACCAGCAGACTTATAAGACAATGCTGGAATGAAAAAGGATTCCCTCATATTCGAAATGACATCACACAGCAAGATAGCACTCATGTTGAAGCCTGGGGCCTTCTTTGGGCAAGAATCATAGAGTAACAGGAAAGCATTGTGAAAGTGTATCATTAAAAATAACATGGAAAGGCATTACCTGAGATGTGGAGGCATAGTTAGTGTTAGAAAGGATCTTAGAGGTCCTCTACTCCATTCTGCTAATAGAGGACAGGCATCCTTTCCAGTGTTGAGAGATCATCCCACTTGCCACAAAGCCTTTTAATGGGTCTAGTTTAAGAGATATTAAAAGATATTAAAATGCTATTAAAAGATGTCAAGGATCTTAGTCTTCTATAAAGGCATTAGAAAGACAAGGAGATAGACAAGGATGGAAGAGAAAAAGAAAAATGAGTATGACAGCAATGTAAGAAATAAGAAAACTGAAGGAAAACAATATTCCAGATAATAGGCTTATAGATTCAAAATTGGAAAGGACTTCAGAGGTTACCCCATCTTATGTCCCTTATTTTATGAATGAGAAAACTGAGTCACATAAAGATTATGTGGTTTGTCTAAGGTCACATTGATAATACAGGTAACAAATGGCACATAAGCATTTTGAACCCATGTCCTCTGATGTTAGCATTCTTTCCACCATACCATGCTGCTTCCCAAGAGATATTTCAGAGATACTTAAAGGAGGTGAGGGAGGACAAGGAGTTATACAGAGACAGCACAATGGAGATGAAAATCTTATGAGCACTGTGATACTTTATTTATTTGTTCATTTCCTTCTGATTTGTTGCTAAGCTTATAAGTCTACAAAGACTCCCATATTAATTATGAGGAGAACACCTCATCTATGTTTATCTCCTACTTTTTGAGCTAGCTGACATCCCTCTGCCTAAGCAGCTTCCTGTATCAGAGGCTAAGTGGTCTCTAGTCTTTCTCTTCATTTTTCACCCCATTATATTCCTTCAAAGTTCTACGTTCTTCCTTTCCTAAGCCTCTCTTGCTATTTTTGTGCCTAAGGCCTCTGAACATTTATGCAGCTGAAGAGAGCCAATGTAAAGAAGAGGATAGTTCATGCAGAGAGCCTGAGGCAAAATTTAATCTTCTAGCATGACACAAAAAACCTTTACATGCTACGTTACAGAGCGTGGCAAGAAACATGGACAGGAGAAATGGGTTTTCTGGAGTGAGTGGAAACTAAAACAGTATGTTAAGAGAATGATGATATTTATTGATAACATTTTAAAACCCATCAGGCCCACCAGGGGTTGCATTATCTCCTTCCTGTGATCACAGCAGAGCAAATGATGGAGATGATCTGACATTCCTTATTGTGATCCAATAATATTTAAGAATACCTCTAAGACATAAGGAGGTTCATTTATTACTCTTGACTGAAAATAATACAAAACAATCCAAGATTACACACAAACACACATACATATGTATGTATGTATAGGCGTTTTGTGTGTATATACATGCATACACACATATGTGTGTAGGTATATATGTATATATGTATGTATGTATATATATATATATATATAATTCACACATACATCTGTCACAGATACATATGCATATATATGTATACATGTGTGTATATATTAGGGTGTTTGTATTATATGTGTGTGAATGCTATGTATATAATATATCATCACACATATTGCATACCTATATCTGTGTATATATCTTCATATATGTATATACAGATATATAATTATTTAAATATCTTATATGTGTGTCACAGATATATGTATATATACATGCTTATGTATATGTATATAAATATGTGTGTATGTTTGTGTGTACAGTTGTTATAAGCAGATATAAGCAAAAAAGATGAATATGTATATATGTATATGCATATAGATAGATACCTATATGTATATTTTTCATATTTCTGTGTGTATATGTATGTATGTTTGTTACAGATAGATTCACATTTATTTCTGTAAGCATATATGGATATATTAGAGATATACATCCGTTTGTGTGAGTCACATGCCCACAGGGTTTCAAAACTCCGTATGGTTTTAAGCATAAACTTAAAGTAGTTTAACTGTAACTATAAATTGAAGTAAAAATATAAATGCACAGTGGTTTAAAAAGTTTAAACCGTGTGTGTGTGTGTGTGTGTGTGTGTGTGTGTGTGTGTGTAGTTTTAAGTTTTTAAGTATACCTACACATACATACAATTTAATTTATATATTTGTCCTTCAGTAGAGAGGAAAATAAAAAAACAGAGCTTTAGAATAAGAAAGAACCTTAAAGATCATCAAGTCACTGAGGAATCCTTTAATTATAATCCAGAGAAATGATCATTTTTCTCTATTTTTATTTCTCTAGTAAAGGGGATCTCACTACCCTTTAGGAAGCCTATTATATTCTCTTCAATAGATTGAGGATAATATAATTATTTTGAAAGTTTTTTTTAATTTAATCTGTTATTTCTGTGAAATTGAGTTGCTCTTATAAAGAAACCAAATACACACACACACACACACACACACACACACACACAGCCAACAACAAAAACAATGTCCAGCAAAAAGGAAGACAAATTAAAAAGCTATTATGATGTTCCTAAGGAAAAGGGGAAAGGTAATCTCTTTCCCTGATCTCCAAGGTCTTAAGATCTCATATCAACAAATAGGAATTGGAATAATGAGGAAAAAACCAATAGGTTTTATAGATTTTCATATTGTATAGAGTTGAAAGGAACTTCAGAGACCATCTAGTCAAACTACTCTATTTTATACATTAAGAAACTTGACTTGGCCAGGGATATTTAACTGGTGTCAAAGGAGAAATTAAAATCAGGATTTCTGCTGATTCCAAATTCAGTGTTCTTTCCTCTGAAGAGCTAATTTTACAAAGGTAAGTGCCTGTGATGCAACTCCAGTGGATACAACACTACGTCCTATATTAACCATTTTTCACTGATTCTATTTATAAGAATATTTTTGTTATAATTATTGTATCCTTGAAGTTCAAAATCTCTCTATTCTTGCGCCATTGGCCCATCTTCCCTGCCTTCATTGTATTTCCAGAAATGTGATGCTTCTCTTAAGCAAATACTTTCACCATCCTTAATTCATTATTGTGTTATAACATTTGGGGGGGGGTACCAACTATCTCTTTCCTAGTGCTGTGTTAACATTTGTCTTCTAAAGAGTGATGAAATTCTATTAAGGATTCTGCAGAAGCAAGCTATGTTCTGCACAGAAGGAAAAAAGTGGTTTTCCATCTGGAATATCTCTTACAGCTTCCCTACTTTTTCAAGATCTAGATGCTCCCTACAGTATCCTCCTGTTTCATGGTTTTCTTTTTTCTTTTCTTTTCTTTTTTTTTTTATTTCTTTTGTTTTAGGAAATATGATGTAAGCTTTGGCAGCTGGTGCATTATACTGTATGGAGGCTTTTGTCTCACTGGGATACTGTGTTCATTTGATGAAAGATCATGGGGCCACCATGGTTAATCAGTCTTTACATTCATATAGAATTGGGTGCTAAAACATGGAGACTGGTAGAGTTTAGTCCCTCTAGGCATAAACTGTAGTGACATCACAAAATCTCAATCCCTTCAATCAAGTAACAAATAGTTGAGTTCCTATTGTATGCCTTGGACTAGATGACTTCATGGAAACTGAGTTGGAAGAGACCTCAGAGATCATCTAATCCCATTCACACCTGAGCAGAATCCCTACTACAACATATATAACAAGTGGTCATTTAGCCTTCCCTTGAAGACTTCCAAAGAAAAGGAACTCACTAACTCCCAAGGCAGCCCATTCTACTTTTCATAGTCTAAGTTCTTCAACACATCAAGCTTGGCTGCCTTTTTGCCAATTCCACCCAGTTGGTCTTAACCTTCTGGGTTGAAGAAGAATGTAATCCTTGTTTCACATGACAACTCTTTATCTGCTTGGAGATAAGTATTATGTCCCCTGAGGCTTCTTTATCCATTCTAACCATCTCCAGTAATTTCAGGCAAATCATATCTAGTATTATCTCAAAGAAGGTCCTTCACTCTTCTGTTTGACCTCTTGTGAATGCTTACTAGCACATCACTGTAGTACTCAGAATATCATATTCTTGGTTTGGTTTGACCAGTTCAGAGAACAGTAGGACTATTATCACTTCTTTTCTTGAGCACTGTTTTTCCCACTCAAGCTTAGGACGACATTAGCTTTTTTCAATGATCATGTCACACTGCTTACTTCCTTGATTTAGGTGCCCTTGTCCTTAATACATAACCCAGAAAAATAATGGCTGGCATTTACATGGCATTTTAAGGCTTATATAATTATTTATATTATCTGATTTTGCTCCTAATATCAATACTAAAAGGTAGGTTCTATAATTATTCCTGTCATCATTTTACAGATTAAGAAACCAAAACCCAGAAGGTTAATTGACTTGTCCATGGCTATACAGCTAGTAAATCTCAGAGGTAGAATTAAAACACATTTGATCTGATTTTCAGTTCATTGCTCTTTATAATACATAAGGGTTTCTTAACCTTGGGTCCAAGAACCCCCAAGTGGTCTGTGGATAGGTTTCAAGGTATCCTTGAATTTTGATCAGAAAAAATTACATGTTCATTTTCATTAACCTCTGATTTAGAAAATTTATCATTTCTTTTGATTATGAATTTTAAAAAAATTCTGAGAAGGGATCCATAGGCTTCATCAGATTGCCACAGAGGTCTATGATATGGAAAAAAAAAAACAACTACAACAACATAAGGAACTCCGATGACTACACATATCAAGATGCCTCTAAACATAAAAAAAAATTCTCTCTCCATTATTTTATACCATTTTGTAGTGAAATCAGTGTTAATGATGGAGATGCCTTTTAACAGAGAAATATATGAATATTGTAACAGACCTGAGAAGGACAAAGAGAAGTTTGCTCTGGGCACAAATCAGTTAAGACACCTGTCCTTGTTTCCTTGCAAAGTACCTTCTTTTCCCTTGATCTTGCAATCCTTCCAATTATGTCAGGAAAGAGGTCCACCAGGTGCTATCCTCACACCATCTGTAAGTCTTAGAGTTTTTGATTGTCTTCACCTGAAGAAGGCTGTTATGACAGTGTGTCGAGTCTTACTGACAGAAAGCAGCTCAGCAGAAAGATGGCAGAAGCTGGGGCAGAATGAGGAAATGGAAGAGGATGGAAGCCATAATTGATAATTGGGTAAATGTGAGAAACTCAGAATTTCTACCCTAACTTCTTCAATCCAGAATTTCCTATATACAAAAAATAGCAACTATCAACCTTATTAGGTTTACTTGATTAAGCAAATATACACTTTTTTTGTCCAAAAATCAGAATTCTACCAATCTCTCCATTCAAAGCCTGCAGCTAAAGCTGCAGTCAGTTTTAGTACTTTTCCACTATTTCTCACCTCAGCCAAATGTAGCTGCTGTAATCCACATTTCCCTAGATAATGACTAGTAATCTAGTAGTTTTGCTACCATTCTGGTAAATCTTTCCAGAGAGTAGATAGTTGGTGTCATTTTCCATGAAGAAGTCTCTATGGCCATCTGTTCCCCTGGGCATTGATATTCAAGGTGACATTAGTCCCCTCTATTGATGTACCTGTGGAGGGACCAAAAGGAAACAAAATATAAATTCTATGAGGGCAAGGACTAAGTCATGAGAGGATTTAAGATCCTTAGAAACCAATTTACAAACAGGCACAAATTTATATAGGGCAAACAGAGTACTGTATTAAATGCAGACAGGCTATATTGAGTAAAGGAAGAATGAGAGTCAGTGGGGTTAATTGGGGAAGTAGGTGAATTTTAGGAGTATTTTAAAAGAGAGAAAACGTAAGGAATGGTAGGAAAAAGAGTAAAAGATTTTCCAGACACATTCTCAAGCCTATAAGAAGAAGAATCTGCCCTATCAGTGGAGGAAACAACCTTCAGTTAGGGTTTGATTTTTGTTTGTTTCTTTTTTGTTTTGCCAAAAAAAAAAAAACCTATTCTAATGACTAGTGTAAAAGCAATTCCTTTCCTTCTAGCCTTTAATTTATTATTTGTATAGTTTCATATTTGCAAAATGTATAACCTTGAACAAATCACATAATCCATCTGTTTCACTTGTCCCATATATAAAATGGGAAATAACAACACTTCCTTTCAGTGCACCTGGCACAAAGGAGATCAAACTTTTTTATACACATCAATTCTCAACACATTGCTGTAAGGTGACTAGAAGGTAGGTGTTAATTTTCATGAGACTATATAAGGAGAACCATGATAGAAAAGAACCGTAGGAAGTGAAAAGTAGCCTATGTAAGCTAGGTAAGGCAACAAGCATAATGCTTACATATCATATGGAGTATACAAATGAATCACAGACTTCTAAGCCAGAAACATTTGGAAACATACATTTTAAATTTTAGGGAGTATAAGAAAACATCTGAAGAGAAACTCTTAAAGGCTCACACTATTGATTGAAAAGCTAGGAGCAATTGTGAATCTAGAAGCAGCACAGGATAACAGAGACTAGGATTTAAAAAGACTGAATTTCTCTGACAATCATGTATGAATTTGAGAAAGTCACTTGATCTCTATTATCCTTCATTTCTTATCATTTAAAATGAGCAATGATTTTTGTGCATATGTGTGTGGGGAGGTGGGTATAGGTGTGTGTAGGTGCAAGAAACTGGAAGGAAAATTGATATCCATTGATGGGGGAATGGCTGAACAAACTGAGGCATATGAATGCAATGAAACAATATGGCACAATAAGAAAGCATAGCTATGAGTAATTCAGGGAAACTTGCGAACACCTGCATGAATTGACTCAGTGTGAAGTAAGTAAAACCAGAGAGAAATACACACATTTTAAATTGAAAAAAAAAACCTACTGAAGGGGAACCCAAATAAATAATTGGAAGGGCCATGCCTCTGTTGAGAAAACAAAAGATGAAGACTCCCCTACACCCCAGTAGAAAAGTAAGGGACTATGGGAAAATAATGTTGTGCATGCTGTCAGACACTGACCCTCACCATATAGTGAGGAAATCATATTTTAGTCAGGTCTTTCATCATCAAAAAAGAAAGAATACCAACCATGCCTGGGCCTCACCAAAGTATTAGGAGAATTGAAATTTCAAAAATTATTGTTTTTGCTGAGACTTCTTCTTCCTTGGAAAAAAAAAAGAAACTTATCTTAGACAACAACAATAAACATTTATATGGTGCTTTAAGTTTTATAAACTGATCTACAAATATCTCATTTTATCCTCATTACAACACTGGGAGGAAGGTGCTATTATTATCTCCTTCTTTTACAGATGAGGAAGCTAAGGCATATAGGGTAAGTGAGTTACCCAGGATCATACAGCTAAGTTTCTAGACTGGAATTCCAACTTATGCCTTCTTGATTCCAGGCCCAAGCTCTATCTACTTAGCCACCTAACTGCCTATGTGGAACAAGTAGAACAGAAAGGCATACTAATTATCTTTCTGTTCAGAGAAAAAGCTTATTTTTACATAATTACGTCCAGAGGTTTAGATTTCCACAAAATACTTAGAAGTAGTCATGGTTCAAGGTGAAATGAGACAGCTAGGTGTATGGATGAATGGGGGTCCTGTTATAATCAAGGAAATCAGCTGAGTATCATAGTGTAATAGAAATAATGCTGAGTTCAAAGTTAGAAAACCTGCCAAAATAATACTTGTAAGACCGACTTTCTCAGAGGTGCTGTGAAGAAAACTCTTTGTAACCTATTGAGTATCATATACTCAATTCAGAGTCACACTGTGTAACTTACATTATTAAATGCCCACTGAGTATTCTGCACTGTGCTAGACACCATGTGTAACCAAGGAAATAAAAGAATGCTCCCTACCCAAGAACACCTTATTATCTAGTTGGGAAGGTGCCTTTCACATGATAAACAATGGTAGCTCTCCAGTTAACTTCCATTTCCCATCCTTTCTCCCCATCACTACATATTGATTTGAAAGGAAGATGTTAGCTTTGACCAATATTCATTCTTTGATTCTGCAAAGAAGACAAAGGATAGAATTCAAAGGAGGAGTGAAAGTTGTATGCTGTCAAAATATGTTATGTTAGGGAAGGGAAATACAGAGATTATCTTTTGTGAATTTGGGGGGTGGCAGGTTTATTGGTTTGAACTATTATGGCTTTTGGAATAATAGAAACACTTGTAGCAGTTTTTAATTTTCATCTTTGTGCCTTGGGGAAGGCAGAAGGGGAAGTTAAATAGCAAATGATTAAAAAGGATTGAAGGTTCAACACCTTCCAATTCCCCATATAATCAAGAGTTTCCTGATTGACTAAGAGGGAAGCTGAGACAAGCTTAAACCAGAGAACTAAATAAATCTTAAAAACAGAATGGCAGTTTTCTGTGTATAGATGCCATTTTGTAGGAATCACTGGGGAACTGGATGAAATGAGAAGGGGTTTCTTGCATATACAGAGACTAGCTATGACCATGGAGTTATAGTGAGATAGAATAGTATAGAAGTAACACAAACTATAAGACTAACTAGGTTTATTTTATTCACAGTTCTGCTATGAATTATCAATGCCATTTTGTATTTCCTCCCCCTATTCCCAAAATTATATTTTCGTATCTGTCATACATAAGTACTACATTCACATAGTTGGGTCTGTGTGGTAGTCAGGGACAAAAAGAGAAAGAGCTGGAATCCAGCATCTTGTTGTGGTGATATCAGTGGAATGGAGAAATATACATAGGAATGAGTTATGACAGTTCTCTAAACCAAGTGAATGATGTAAGCCTGAACCTAACCAAAGAACATCAAAAGGCAGATACCTTTTTGGAGGGGTTCTTTTATCAGGCAAAGATTAGAAAGTAGGGGAAGGTGATTTCCATGAAAAGTATAAATGTTTAAACTCAGTTTCCCTTTATCCCAAGAAAATAGCTTAATATACAACAAAAGAATAACAAAAGGCAGGAAAGTGAGAGAAACCCAAAGGTAAAGACTTCCCAAAAAATTTTAAACAAAAACAGAAAAATAAAAAAACAGAAGATCAAAAATAAATCAGTAAACAAAAACAGGACCCAATATGATGAATAAATATGGGGTAGAAAGAAGTGAGAAGAAATCTCTAGAAGAAATGATTCACACATACTAACACTAAAATTAAAATAAAATTATGATAAAAATACTCATAATGTTTGTGAGGTGTAATACAAAAAGTAAATGTAAAAAGAAGGAAATAGCTGTCTTAAAGAAAAAATTAAAAAAAAACAATGGAGAATCAACAGTTTAGAATGAAAAGTGAAAATCTTAAACAAACAGTAGGTACTATGAAAATAAATATTAATGGAAAGTGAAAAAATGTGAAGAGCTCCAGGGGTACCTGTAAACCTTGAATATAGAGTTTGGCGTGACAATTTGAGAATCCCAGAATAACAAAGAAATATTATAAACAAAGAACCTTGATGCTACATTTAATGAAGAGATATTTGAAAATTGCCTGAAAAATTAGAGGACAAAATACAGATCAATAGAACTCAAAATTTGATTTCAGAAAGGAAGCCTAGAGTTAGTTCACCTAAAAATTCAGTAGCCAGATTCTGGAGCTTTAGTATCAAAGACAAAGTCATGCAACCTGACAAAGACATGAATTTCATGAATTTAGGAATATCAGTTTAAATCATATAGGACTATTCATGAATGATGAGAAATAAGGTGTAGGGGAGGATGACTGGAATAGTTTATAGCAAAAGAGCAAAAGAAAACATCTTGCAGCAAAAGATCACAGCATTATATACCTAGATCAGGAAAAGACCTTGGAGGTCAACGGGTTCAAATTTCTTATTTTGCATATGAACACTTCTTCTTATTGTGTCCAAAATACTTTATCCAAAACCAAGAACTCATCTTATTTCTAATGGAAATGTATGATTAATTGGAAGAAGAGGGACATAAGCTATGCTAAGAGTAAGAGATATCTAGGAGGAAGTTTGTCATGCCCACAAGGCATACTTTTAATACCAGAAAGAAAATAAAAGAGAGTAGCAAGTCATCAAGATGCTGGATAGACTCTTTAAGGTGAACCTATGAGAGAAAATGAATAAAAAATGCATAGGATGGGCAAGTATTGTAGGAATATGGTCTCCATCCTCTGAAGGAGCATACATGTTACAGATTACATTTGAATATTATAATAAATTTTCCTTTCTGTTTTATCTCTCCCTTATTAGGGTATTGGAATAATAGAAAGAATTTGACAAAGTTAAGATTTTCTCTTTTTGTGAAAAATACAGGTATTTGATTTCTTCTTAAACTTTTTATGTAATTCACTTGAAAATCCATATGGGCACAGGTTATTTTTTAAATAAGATTTTAATTTATGAATTGCTCAATAGCTCTTTCTGCGACCAGGTTCTGTGGCTTCTTTATTTTGTGTTGAGTTAATCTGCATATCTTAAAATTATGTAAATATTAATTTCTCTTAAATTTTCAGTTTTTTGCATATTGGACATAATTATTTCTGACATTTTCTTTTATTTTCTCTGTTTGTTATGAATTTTTCATCATTTATTTTATTTAGATAACTCGGCTTCTTGTGATCAACCATATGAATGATCTGGTGAATAATGGAACAGAATTTTAGAGCTGGAAAGGATCTCATCAGTCAACTAGTCTGATGCATATCTGTGTGGGAGAAGATCTCTCAGAAGTGAAGCCTCCTCAAAGGGTCATTAGTTCTTGTTAACGGTTCTGGTATTGTTGCTTTTGAGTGGTACATGTGTACCAACACTAAGTGAAGACCCCTTAGAATACAAGACCCCCTCCCCAGCCTTCTTCCTCCCCTACTCTTAGATAGTGTTAGCAGAAATTCCTGAGCCATAAGAGCATCCTGTCTATCTCATCTTCTAGTAAAAGGCTGCTGAAACTGTGAGGCCCAGAAAAGGGGAACATGCTAACATAATTTCTATACCTCTTTGTTCTCTCTGTTACTGGGGTAGTTTTTACATGAATAGATTGTACACCTGAGGCTCAGCCAATGAGCTGACAGGAAGGGGGTTAGGGTGGGCTGCTGCGTTAGGATCTATATAATCTTGCCTTAAACAAAGAGCACTCACACTCTTGGGGCAGCTTAAGCAGCATGGGGGTGCCCTTTCTTGAGAAAGTCAATGAAGAGATTTCTCCTTTTTCCAAACTTTTGTCAAGACCCTGGTTTTTAATTTGGGTAGGTGGTCTCTGTCCCACACATCTGGAATCCTCTCTAAGCCTCTAAATTTGGGGTATAATCCCTTTTCTTTTTCTTTCACCAGAACACATTCTTATTTTGCCTTTCCTTTCTTAATTGTTGAATATTTCTGGCCAGTCTGGATTGAATTTCCTTGCTGTGTGGTCTATCTCTATCTTGCTCATATTTTTTCTTTGACCTATTTATTAGCTCTACATCCTACAACTACATTTCTTTATGAGTTACAATGGGTATTTCCACTTCTCACTTTAATCAATCAGAAATATTTATTAAACACTTGCTCTGAGGCAGGCCCAGTATTAAGCACTGGGCATATAAAGAAATACAAAAAAATTCCCTGCCATCAAGAGGCTTTCATTTCTTCTAACCATTCTTGGAGTCATTCTAGGCATCCCATAGTCTTTCTTAGACTTACCTTTGAAGTTACTGCAAAAGAATTCACTTCTTTTTAGAATTTTATTCTAGAATTTTCTTAATTCATACTATGTTTATATTATTAGGAATTTTACTGTTTGTTACCCTCCTCAGCTTTTCTGAAGATTCTCCCTTCTCCTCCCTCCTCCCCCACAATCTATGGACACAACTCTTGAACTTATACTCTGTCGAGAAGTAAAGGACTCTGATTAAAGTATTTCCTAATGATACTACCTTAGGAGTGGCTGGTAAAAACTCTTTCTAATTGTCCATACCACTTGCCATTAACTTCTAATTGTCTTTGGTTCAGTAGCTGTGGTAGCTTCTACCACAAAAGAATAGCTAGTACAGTTCCCAGGGTTGGTATGGGGATGAAGTGTAGTCTGGCACTATACCTATGAAGCCTTCACAGGATTGATTTGAGGGAAGCAATTTGTGTAAGGTTCTATATAAATGTGAGCAATGATGATAATTATTAATATCCAGTCCATAGGGTTATTGTGAGAAAGACACT